TGAGGGAACTGGCGCTCCTTGACGGATTTGATCTCGTGTCACCCAGCTTCACAGTTAGAGACGTTACCATTGAGCTATCCTTGTCGCGACCGACCTGTAGGACTGACATGTAATCACAATTGATTGATCACTGAGTGGCGATCAATGTCATGCGTGTCTAGTCCTTATTAGTGCAGATCGAATGCTATCGATCATGTTACGGTGTGGCCACCAGTTAGCTTTTTCTCTTCAAATGATCTCATATGGCCCTATACGTATACAACTACTGTCAGGGAAGTCCTACACACTGACTTCTAGAGTTTGGGATGTTGCTTACGAAATTAAGAGGAGGACGAGGAAAAGTGAATGTTCGATGCTTTGACCGGGGTTGGTGGATACAGAGGATCTGTCTAGGGCAGTTGGAAAACCTTGATTCTAAACCGATAGTGTACATGGGTTTGTAGAGGCTAATTTCCTTTATATCTGACTCTAATTGCTAGTATCCCGTTAACTGAGGTATTTAATGCAGGCTAAATCTCCTAGTAGAATTATGAATTTACTCGAGATTTATTCAAAATTTAAGACAATTAGTGCCGTTTGATAAATTTCGTTAATGCAATAAGAAGACAAAGTTTATCAGAATTATGTGATGATAGATTTGCTTAATTAATGCATTTTGAACAATTTGATCACATATAATGTACTTATATATCAAAATTATAAGGTCATCTGAACAGGTTAAAGGTAAGCCGTGACAAAGACAAAATGATAATAAAGTACATAAAAACAATGTGATAAGCACTCTCGGTAATAAATCCGTGTTACCTGGGTAGGTTAAGGGTAAGGACAAACTGTTTTTGAACACATAAAGGGGTTTTTAGTTTCTGTATAGCCAAGGCTTCAATAAACCTTGGTATACGTCCTTGAAAGCTTTTGTATAACACTACAAATGCTGACTTGATGTCAACCTTATGACCCGTCTCAATTAAATGTTTCACAATGGAGGATGATGTCTGTCTATCCTGTGATCTTATTTGACCATTGAAATCCATTTATTTCTGTAACCATTTTGGTATATGTTCACCCACCCTTAATTGCAAATCACGATTGCTCCTCCCTATGTACGTGTTTCCACACACATGTAAACTGATAGACACAATGGGATATGACACAATCGCTTTCGTATTATTTGGGCTTTTGGCGAAACATAGACCTTGTCTTTTCGATAATGACAAGTTGGGCTGTATAAAATGTCCGGTTGATAGCTAATTTAAGTCTCCGTTTCAACATGAGACTATTTGTGTCGCCTCTAAATGGTAACTTAATATAAACTCGCCTTTTGGGTGCCAGAAGCGTCATAGGTCGTCGTATTGCAACCCTTCCAGCGGTTTATGAACGTCAAAGAATAACCATTATTCATTAACGTAACATTCAAGAGCTTCTCCTCTACTTCAATAGTATCACTATTACAAATACGATTGATTCTATTGAATAAGCTCTTTATTAAACCGCGTTTGTAATGAATAGGGCAGTAACTATGAAAATTAAGATATTGCCCTGTTCATGTTGGCTTTCTATATTAAGCACGTTGGATGAAAACATCATCGCTCCTACTAATCAGGATGTCTTCTCATTGCATTATCGAAATTTATTAAAAGGCCTGAACGCCAGATATAGAGATAGTTTATTGTTAAAGATTGGTAAAATCCGCAAGCGTACACGAAGCAAGCACAAAGTGAAACCAAGAGTGTGTGTGTGTTGAAAATCCATATATATTTATGAGTGTTAATCAAGTGTGGATAAATTATTGATTGTCTGTGTATTACAACCAATGGGAGAATAGATTGGAAATTGAAATGTGCTCAATCAGACTCGCACAGAAAATTACATGGTAGATCGTGTCTAAATTACAGTGAGCAGATAAATAATACAGTAGTGGGATGGATTTACTACAGGTTCCAGGATTCTGAGGGAAGAAATAGCGTATGATTCTATTATTGGTGACCGGCTACCACGAGATTGCATCTCCTAAAGTTGCTCCACTGTTTTGTGGATCAGACCTTCAGGTCGAAGGCTCCGGGTGTGGCCCCTTAAGAAAACTACCTGCTTCGGTTTGGTCACCCGGGCGATATCTCAGCCTTCACACAAATCGAACGATTTGTGTGGCGCATATGTATTTGGTGTTCCTTTGTACCAATATTTATGCGTTTAAATAAACAAAGATCACAACATTTGATTCTCATATTTTAACTGCGTAAATAATGTCTACTTAGGTCTTACAGTTACCTTATAATAAATATTGGTTGTCAATTTAGCAACTCTCCTGAATATATATTCAGTCAAAGGATGTTTCAAACATTGCTAGTCGATAACTTTTCAGCTAGTAAGCGCTTATAAATATTCCCGAATGAAACTATGCTACCAGGTAATTTTGTATAAGCATGAAGTTGTCTATGCACTCAATTTATCAGGCTGAGTTAAACAATATTGATGAGTAATGGACACTTTGTGATAGTGACACTGAAGTCTTGCTGTACAATCAAATATTGTAGCATTTAAATCCAATATACTTAATATGTTATTAGGACTCAGCTTACTAAAATCCGGATTTTATGGTTTCAATGACTGTGTGATTGATTAACGTTGAAAAACTCGATTTTGGACCACTGATTACAGATTCCAACTCTATTCCATACATATATAATCAAAGGCGATTGTTACATTTGTCACATATTCTTAACCAAAGCATATCAATAACACCCTACTCCGGCTCACATAGGAATACGTTAGAAAATAGCTAAGCATGAAGAGATTAAGACATGTCGATTAGTAGACTTTTTGGTTTGAATCAATGAAATACTTATAGTTAATTTTTGTAAATATTGGGTGGCATTATGTAAAATCGATTGCAATAGCATCTTTTTTTCGAACTGTACCCCTTTCATGTTTAAATTTCCAATGAAGTCCTCTCAAGTGATTCTTGTTTTATTAATTTCTTTTCCCGCTACACTGATATGAGCTATGAGAGTTATGACAGATATATATTGGTATGTATACACCTACCAATGTGATTAAAACCAACGACAGTGAGACTATAATGTATGGACGAGCCAATCAGAAGCGCCTGGAGGATTCCAGGGTCACAGCGCCAATTTCAGTACCTAATGCTAACGTACGATCGGTTCACAGCGGATTTTATGGAGGACGTGATAACTGGGCGCCCATAACAAATGAAACGGCGACACTAAAATTTATGGACAAACCAATCACGTATAATATAACAGATCTTGGATTTTGGCGCGAAAGTAAACCATTCATTTGACTAACTAGAGTTTTGGCATTATAGCTGATGTCACTTTGTCATGAAAACCATAATGACAATTATTGTGAACTGAATAATAAAAGCACCAGTGACACTGGCTACAACCGGGTACTACAATATATACAGATGATTGGAGAGTGTACAAATGCTTCTGCAGGTACCTAAAAAGGAAATCGGACTAGAAGTGGTCTTAGTGACCTGGGAGCGTGACCGCAGTGCCCAAGGGACAACTGCTTGAGGTCGGTCACACACGACCTTTTTATGGGCAATTTTTGTGTTTGCTCCGTACTTGTTGAGTCCTTACCGCCGGAGACAGATATCCGTGGGATAAGGTGTGTATTTTTAGGGTCGACCTTTTCTAACCCCACCCCTCCTTGTGGGAAGGCAGCATCGCTGTCATGCTCTTTGTCTGAAGAAAACACCTTACTGCTGTCACACCTCTGTACAGTCAGCAGTAAGACTTCGCCTTCGAACCTTGGGTTTGTTGCTCTTAGTCTTACCGCTCTTCAACCGACCTTTCTGACGTGGTAGGACCTTGAGGAACAGTTGTTCCAGTCAGTATAGATCGGTTGCTTCATCACGATAGGCAAGCCCGACCACCACGTCAAGGTAGCAACAACGGTCGGGATACAAATGCTGAAATAGACTTGATTATGTGCATCATGTCGTTATTCACAGGCGGCATTTTGTGAATTCAACAACCGGAGTGCACATAAACAATAATGAAGCTATGTGGTTGAGGCTGAGTTTTTGTTACTTTTTCATAGCTCCAGGGGCCAACTATTCTGCAGCCATATGGATGATTTCCTCTACTGCATGCATTCTGATTTTAGAACCTCTTTCTAACTTTGACAAGTTTTTGAACCATGTATAAGTAGTGTATCCACTTTATTTCTTTGGTTTTGAATAATATACTTTAACTCTATACTGACTGTTCGTTGAATGGCTAATATTTCTTAAAGTCATTTAAGATTCCTTAGACTGATGTCATATCTTGGGCTTTTCCCACCCTTTTTTTTCTAACAAAGCTCTACTTTTATTTATTTAAACACATAAACATTGGTGCAAGGAGGCACCTAATAGATATGCGCAACACAAATCATTCGATTTATGTGAGGGCTGCGATACTATCCGGGTGCGCGGACTGAAGAAAGTGGTTTCCTTAGGGGGACATACTTGGAGACTTCAACCTAAAGTTCTGATCCACAAGGTAGTGAAGCAACGTAAGGAGATGCAGTCACATAGTGAATGGTTACCAACGTTTGGTCCATATGCCGTTTGTTCCCTCAGGATACTGGAGCCCATGTGCACCATTGGTTTAAAATCATAGTTTTCCAACTGCCCTAGGTGGACTCTCCATGTCCACCAATCAGGTTAAAGCGTCGGACGTTCGCTTTTCGTCCTCTCAATTTCTTAAACAACACCCCCGCCACGAGAACGCGATGAGTAGGACTTCCTGGGCAGAAACTATATAAGCGTGGCCATGTAAGAGCATTTCGAGAGGGAGTGCGGACTCTCCCCACTCTCGGCCGTACCAAGGCATTTGGAGGCAACAAAGTTCTACTCCAATCAACATTATACATCAAAAGTAAACGATAGTTTAATAATTGAATTATCATTACTACAAATCCCTATCGCTTAATTTAACTGAATAAATTAATTTTTTTCTCAGAAGAAAAAAAAACAAAACACCGTGAAATGATTTTCTCACTTTCTTATGAATTGAGTTCAAAAATTTGGTACAATGAAGAAAAAAAAGGGGAGAACAGAAAAACAAACAAAAAACACACAAGACAAACTGTAAAATAAACAACGAATACAGGGGGCGGGAGTTGTGGGGGGCGCACAAATGTCACAAAAAATTACAACATATATGTATATATATGCCATGTATATTATTCGAAAATAATTAAAATGAAAACAAAAGCAAGAAAAAGAGGGAGGGAGATAAGAAGAATTTATATTTTCAAAAAGAAAAAATTACAAATAAATAAAAGAGAATAAAGTAAACATATAATGAAGGTAATTAATTGGTCACATGCACCCACCCACGCACGTACACACACACACATCTACATATGATTACACATAGAGACTGTACACACACACAGGAGGGGTGGGAGAAGATTGTGCAATGTATAACAATAAAAATAGAAGAAAAGAGAAGTTAATTGACACAAACAAAACAAAACAAAAGAGATAGTCTTGAACATAATAGGATAGTTCATTTATAGTTGCAAAATAATTACATCCTATTATTATTATTATTCCATTTATTGACCCATAAAGGAAATGAACAGTTTACAAGATGAAAGAATAAAGAACTAATTAAACAAATACATTATTATTATTATTGTTATTTATCAAGTAGTAATCATGATATACATCAATCATTTCATGTATCCATGAACTACTCTGATTATTACTATTCCACAATGATCAGAATCAAAACATACAATAAAATGTTTATAGATTATCAATTATTATTACCATTTCTTTTTATAATCATCTACACTAACACCACCTGGTCCATATGCAACAACTAAACCTAAACCACCAATAACTGACCATGTTTGAAAGAAATCATATTTTAAAAAATCCCACATTAAACTATCATTACTAACAGCCCAAAATCGATTATAATAAAAATTCATACCAGTTAACCAAATAACTAATACTGTTGCACAAAGTTTTGTTTTATAACCAATTGCCACTAATAGAATTAAAATTAAATTACCAATGGACTACAAAATAAAATAAGAAGAGAAAAAAAAAGATAATTAAATTATAGGAAATAATTTTAATAGTTGAGATCATGAATCAATTGAAACTAGATCATCATGGAAAACCTACAAACACTGGATGACTGTTTCGTCCTATTGTGGGACTACTCCACAGCGGTGTGTATCCATGATCCCACCTCGCGGGATTCGAACATAGGACATAACGGTATCGAGTGTGAACGCCTAACCTTTAAACCACTAAGTCGGCATTCAACGGTATTAATGTCTAACTTCAACTAATTCATGAAATTGTGCCACCGTTCACCATTTTCATCAGTGAGTTACTATTTCACAATAGACCACGTTGAACTCCAGTGGTCACGGCTTCTCACTAGAACTTCAGGATATATCTCTTGAAGCCAGTCACTAGTGAGTATATGATGATTATAATCAGAGAGAGCGGTTTTGTGGATATTATAGTAATTTTAATAATTGAATTCATGAGTCAATTAAAGCTAAACCACCATAGGATACCTGGATGGCCGTTTCGACCTACTGTGGAACTGCTTAGCAGTGTGCATCCACGACACCACCTGGCGATTCGAACCCAAGACCTATCAGGAGTCCCATATTAGGACGAAACGGCCTTCCAGTGCTTCCAGGTTTTCCATAGTGGTTTAGCTTCAATTGATTGATAAATTCAACTATTAAATTTACTAGAATATCCACAAAACCCCTCTCTCTGATTATAATTGAAAATAATCTTTACCTATATTTCACATGAAATTTACAAGTTGTTTAAGAACGAATCAATTGTAAATGACTCTGATGTGGAACAATATAGCTAAATCAAAATAAATAAACTTCACTACTTATCACTGTTATCGACTAATATCGGTATGAAGTCTTGTGAAGTACCGGATATGGAAATATGACTGTAATAAACGTGACATGTTCTTCTACTTCTTCAAAATTTTACATTTCAATCTAGTGTACATTAAGAAAGCAATCATTTACGATAGCGTAGCCATATACTTGAAAAATGATAGTAATCTATTAGTAAAAGTAAGGAAATGTAATTATCGTATACTGTAAAACAGGTAACTGAAACAGTTGATGTGAAGTATTCTAGGTTCCATCATCGAAAATCGAATGTGTAAATTATTTCGCTGTAATTATGTTGTCATTCGCATATGTGCATACTGCGTATTCCCTCAATGTTGCCTTAATTTACAAGCATTCTAAGCAAAGATGGATAGTGGCTAGCAGTTGAATCAAGGACGTGCGTTTCGTCCTATTTGGGAATCGTCAACTAAATGTACCTGCTAAATGGATAACGCGATGGTGTTTGAAACGAACGGTACTGAGTTCGAGCCCCGGAGTGAACATCAACCCTGAGATGCGACTAAGTCCATCTGACGAATCCCGAATAAGACGAAACGCATATCCTGGATTGCAGTGCTAACTACTATTCATCTTTACTTAGAATAATCATTAACGTTGTATATTTTTTTAGGTTTAACTGACTAATTAACTACAAATTCCATATATGCCGCCTTTTGACCTACACATGTTATGTAAGGTTTTATGATACTAAGCATTTGACCAAATTGAATTAAATGGAACATAAATGGAATCTATGAATGAAATTTTTGAACAGGTAAAATACTAATGGTTAAAGTAAACAATACTTACTTGTATAACATAGAATATACTACTACCTAAATGAATTAATGTGACAAACATTAGAATAATAAGTATTCTACCACCAAGTAGAATATATTGTCGATGTGTATTTTCACCAGATGATGGTAGACCAGCTAATAGACTACGTGTTTCTTGTTGTACTTCAGCTAATAATAATAATAAACTACCAAGAAGTGATAGATTACGCATAAAGAATACTTTTGTCCAAATATTATAACCAATAGTCTACAATAAATAAATATAGATAAGAAGACAATATTACATGTATAATTGAATAGTGAAAGTTTTAACATTAAGTTTTTCTTAAAAAAAAACAAATCAATACGCACAGGATGCATGTATACCAACATGAAACTGATCAATTACAGTCCTAAATAACAATAGGAAGATACAAGCAAAACAACACCAAGTGAATTTAAATTCATCCCATTTCACAAGCAAGTGGCTATCAGAACTCAGTAACTAAGTGGATCACGAGATGACGTTTGAAGCGAACGGTACTGGATTCGATTTCCAAAGTGAACATCAACTCTGAGATGCAAGTAAACCCAGCTGATGAGTCCCAAATAGAATGAAACATGCGTCCTGGATTCCACTGCTAGCCACTATTCATCTTTGCTTACAAATCAGTTTTGTTAGAAGTTTTGTACAATCAGATTGATATCAAAAAGTTTGTGATGTTTGAAAACTATGAAATTGATTAAACTGTCAAAACTGATTATGAATGAAGGAAATAGTAACTGAGAAATAATTTTGGTATTGAAAGAACAATCCATCTGTTATCATACTCTCTTAAAGAATTTCATATATGACACTAATTGATAAGTGGTGCTCAAATACCCTGGTACGGCCGAGAGTAAAAAAAGTCAGATCTTCCTCTCTAAATGCGCTCACATGGCCATGCGTATACAGCCACTGTCACACAGGTCCTACTCACTGCATTCTAATGACATTACTATTGTTTACGAAATTGAGAGGATGAAAAGAGAATGTTCGGTGCTTTAACCGGGTTGGTGGATATAAAGGATCCACATAGGGCAGTTGGAAAACCCTGATTCTAAACCAATGGTGTACATGAGCTCCAGGATCCTAAGGGAACAAATGAACCTATTGTTGGTCACCGACTACCATGCGACTGAATCTCCTGACGTTGCTCCACTGCCTTGCAAATCAGACCTTCAGGTCAAAAGCTCGTGATGTGGCCTCCTGAGAAAACCACCTGCCTCGGTTTGGGCACCCTGGCAGTATTCCAGCCCTCACATAAATCGAATGATTTATGTGACGCATATGTATTTGGTGCTTACTTGTACCAATGTTCACGTGTTTAAATAAATTGTAAGATGACAACTACTACTATTCTCAGAAGGAAGAGCGACAATTTCTCCTTTGGATATGTCAATATCTGTCAGAAATAACAGGTTCGAAACTTTAATAAGTCTTTAACGTTACGACATTTATGAGAAAGAATGGCAGCGAGTGCTAATTCTTTGACTAGTTAACTTCAATGGTTGTACATGAAAAATAAGACAATATGTTGTACATATTTTCCCTATAAAATGACCAGTCAGAACAACCTCAAATATATTCGAATAAACTGAACCTATATCCTCAATAAATTGCTAGATTAAAACGTTGTTGACTAAACTAGTTATAATGCCTGAATATACAAAACTTTTATAAATTGAATGAAAACGTTGTAAAACATGATGGTAAGTTCATTAAAAGAGACAATAAATCTAGGACCAAAGAAAAACTAGTAGTGAATGCGGGAGTTAACTTTATGCCTTTAAAACGCAAAATGATTGATAGTGAACAAATGACAATTGTCAGAAATGCATAACAAAGTAACGAGTTCCTAATATTTCAATATCACAACGAAACCTAGCAATACTATCAGATCTCGAGTATTGGGTAGCTTACTAACTCTATGGAAGGAATCAAACTAAAAAAAGAATATTAATATACACGCCAATGAACTCGAAATGCGACTCCGAATTTATTCTATATACACAATAAACATGACAATATGAACACTAACTTGTAATAACACAGTTGACATAAGAATTCCAACGCCAATTTTCACTCGATAACGACCCAAGACAAAAGCACTTCCAATAAACTGTAAGCAGATGTTCAATAAAATGAAAAAGGCTGCAAATATGACATAGGTTCCCCAAACAGATTGGATATAATCCACTTGATCAGACCATTGAGTTAAAAGTCGAAAACCATCTTCAATAAATGTAGATACGAGACAGAATCTAGCTATATGAGGTAGATAACGTCGACTTTTTCGTACAAGCTGTAAAAATTACAGGATAAGTAAAGAGAAGTAAACAAACCATGAAATGGATAATAAAACATTTAATCACAGAAATAGTAAATACTACAGTGTTATTAATCTTAACAATCTTTTGTTTGCAGGTAAATATTACTGAATTATCATAGGGAAGTATGATGGTTTTAATGACAATGACGTTTAATGAATTAGCTAGTACTCCAGAAAAGTAGAAATATGATAAAATGGATCTTCTTTATCAATAAATGAAGACTATATGGTAATGGAAGGTTTGATGGAAGAGCACAGACGACTTAGTGTGGGATTGGCAATAGGCAATAACGACCCATTAGTCTTACAAGTCAATACGAAACCTCAACTCAAAATCAGACCTACGATCATTCTACGTACAAAATTATATTAGGTTTACATCTTGAGATCCATCCATATGCCACGAAGGAAACGGCTCAACTAAATAGTATCTTCGACCCGTTATGGTTTCTTAAACCCACTTCAGAAAGCAATTACAATATTTGGTAGGACTCTAATTTATGGACGAGCCAATCAGAGGCGTTTAAGGAGCTTCAAGGTCACGGCGCTAAGTTCAAGGCGAGATGCTCACATTCGATCGTTTTACAGCAGATTTTAGAGAAGAGGTGATTGTTGAGAGACTACAGCAGATGGGACTATTAAGAAGTTCCTGTGTTTGTGACTGCGGCAATCAAGTGACCGCAACAGGATGTGCTGATTACCGTGATGACATTGTATTTCGTTGTACTAAATGTTGGAGAAAAAAACCTGCTCGAACTGGCACTTTTTTACCCGGTCACGGCTAAGGTTAAGACAAATCATGATAATCGTTGCAAATTGGATCATAAATTCTCCAGTAACATTATCATCAAGGAGTACGTTCAACCTGGCACGACGATCTATACCGATGATTGGAAAGCGTATAGATGCCTCTCGAGACTTGGTTTTGTGCATCATGTTGTGGTGCACAAACGTCATTTTGTTGATCCAACGACGGGAGTCCATACAAACAATATTGAAGGCATGTGGTCAAGGCTGAAGTATTTTTTAAGACCCTACCACGGCTCCAGAGGACGATTACTATGGAGCCATATGGACGAGTTCTTATACCGCATGCACTATGATTTCAAAACTTCGGAACCTTTATCAAACCTTAACAAGTTTTTAAATCATGTAAAAGAAGAATATCCATTGTAATTCATCAGTTTTGTATAATATATTTTTACTTTATACTAACTCTCTTCTGATTGGCTAATGTTCTCAAGGTCACTTAAAAATTCGTTCAAAGGTCGTCCATAAAATAGAGTTTCACCCAATATTTATATCAGGCTATCAGACACCTGTTTTGTTACGGCCTAAGTCCAAGCATATAGTTTCAGTCTGGACTTATGATCTGACACATGTTAATGAGGTGAGAGGAATACTGATGCTAAGGTAGCAGTTATAAAGATCAAACAAGAAACAAATGGTTAAAGATGGGAAGAAAACGTACGTATGAAGAAATATAGGAACCTAAGATTTAGATGGAAATGAATAGTGAGTTGGCCTATGAGACCGTAATCGATTCCGAACCATATCGGTCAACGTTTAGTCAAAAGCGGTTATCGCACAGACCTTGATATGATAATCTGAACCTACCAATACGGCTCAGACCGACAGTCAATGACTTGATGGACTATTGTGACATGGCTCAGAATCGATCTTGGTGACATGGCTCAGAATCGATCACAATGGCGTCGGTGTATACACTCCCTGTCTTCCCTTAAACTAAGAGATTAAAATCGATTCATATCTTTCTTTCTACGAACCAACTCTTTCTTCTTGTACTATATCTCTATATGCAATCTTTCTCTTATATATTACCACCTTTTACCTAACCACTGTTATGAATCCGGTGTTCATCTTGTTGTGCTGATGCGGTATGGCAACCTGGACCGATGCACATATGTGCCTGGTCCTACGTTGTAACTGACTGACTGACTGATGGACTATAATTGCATGTACTTAAGATCGCCCTTAGCTCTGCAGCTTACGCTTGCACCAGCAAGCACTGTATATCAAGGTAGGCTTGCTGGGATACGTAGAATCCCAGCAGCCCCAATCGATGAAGATGCGCAACATCAACTGACTTTCCATACTTACCTAGTACCCTATGGCTTACTTCAGAACAGTTCGCTAGGTTGTTCTATCAAAAGTAAGAAATGCTTCAAGAACATCGTTGACTGAAAATCTGCAGATTACGTATGTTTTCTCTTTTCATAGACCATAGGGTAGTAAAAAATGGATAGCTACATAGTATACTTGTCTTTCAATGTGCAGACGGACATCTTTTCTATACCAGAAATGATCAATTTTAGTGATGGTGGAAACCAGCCATGAAGCCACTAGAGGAGAGGAGCTGGACTGATACTCGTGTTCAGAAGACTGTTTTATGTCAGCACTTTTACCAAAAGTCTACTTTCACTCTAGTGGCTAATATTGAAATGAAACTAAATGGAATGTCTATGAAGTGAGCTGGATTACTAGATTGACAAAAAATAATATTGCTTTTACAGATTGACGTAAAACCTTGCAATTTGGGTTAGACTACACTGTCGTCTTATAAGTGATCAACTGCAGAAAAAATCAGCCCTTTGGCTAAAAACCGAGTCAAATATGAAAATATTGAAAATTGAGGATTTAGATTTGTAAATATAGTAATGAAACGAACGTACGGGTTGAAAAAATGGTCATGAGCAGCTTCACGATGAACTTTATTTTGAGGTCCACTACGAACATAACTTAGAAGCTTATCATAGCTGACTTCAACTTTATTTTCAGTTATTTTACTTCTAAGTCGGGATATGGAAATGCTATTCAACAATTTGAAGACAACTCCTAGCAACAGTAAAAACCGTGTCATGTGCTGGAAATAATTCGTATTTATATAGACTGAGAATAACATGAGGATTTAATGGTGTGCCGTAGCAACCCTTATCTGTAAAAACTACGACAGTGTGGTAGCAAAGAAAGTCAAAAAGCATTACCCAATCTGCATGATCCTCCAATCTATCCAGCATTTCTCTGCTGGTAGAGCCACGCTGCATTATGTCTACCATTATTGAGTAATCAGGCGACCGCTATGCAACGTAGAACAGTTGTGTTGAAAGCTCTCCTTAACGTGATAGTATAGAATGCCTTAGATAAACAAATGAACACATTTCATTAACAAATAAAACGACTTGATGTTACATTTTCAGTGAAAAGCAAATAAGTTAATTAAGTCAGTTTATCTTCTGCGATAGTGAACTTATCAGTGAGTGTTTTTTATAAAACATCTAAGTCGTTAAATTAGCGTACGCGAGGTTAAATGTGTAACAGTAAATAAATTTCCGGAATAACTACTTCTGTAGGCCTTCCACTGTGATGGTGACCTCATCAGTTTTACTATACAAAATGGCTCAAGGGCGAACGGTCAAGCATCTGCACCAAATCATTACAGGGTACGTCGTCAGTATGGATCGCATACACCTAAACTCGTCGACCATTTCTAAAATATATCATCGCATTTTTCACTCTGGAGTGTTGAGTAAACTTACTCAAGGGTTCTCTTTCAAAAGAAAGCTCTGGACTACAGCGTTTCAAAAACTGTATATTCGTGACATCTGTATAGATGTATTTAACCGGAACTGTTCTTACCAAAAATGGTCCTGTTAGCTGATGTTCCATACTGTCACTAAATGCACAGACACATTGATAACTTCGCAGACATATTGATATCACTATCTCTGTGTCAATGAGCTCATTCCCACGTACTATTAAACGGACTGTCTCTTAATATTGCCTCTAGTTTTGATTTACTGCCGTTAGTTCTCTGTCTGGAAATATCCCATGATCAATATCTGTTGAGTAACAGGATCATACTCAAGAAACTTTGATAAAATGGGTTATCCTATGTCGATAAGAAGGATGTTTATATACATAACTTTAACTAAAATCCATCACAATGCAGCCCTAGCTTGTTTGTCTTTCGCATAGTGTAAGATAAATGCAATTCGTATCCTGATCATACAAGTTTTTACGAACTAAACGAACTGTAGGCATAAGATTGCACCTAAACTCTTATGACCTGGTACTGTCTTCGTCTTACTACCTGCGTACACATTCACACCGAGTTAGCTATGGAGTCGTAGCGACATTGGTCCTAACTACAAAATCCTCAGTGCTGAAGATGAGATAACTGGAAAAATACATATTCAACAATTAATACGAAGAGAATGTCAACAATGAGAGAGGCGATGAGAATTAATTCAACTCAATCGGATGGTGTGGCTCAGCCTCGCAGACGTGGTCACGGCGTAACTTTTTTCACATTAAATATATTTCTATATCTTTAATGTCATTCAAAAGCAATAGACTTCATATAAGGTGAGTCAGAATAGACAATAGCGTAACTTCAACGTAAGATCTTATAGATTGTGCAGCCACATCGAGCCAACTTTGCAATTTTAGGATATAGGTCTATTATTATAATAGTACTCATAACAAAGTAAGCGGTAATTCTGCATATCTTTACGATAGCAAAATTAGTGAAAAAACAATGACTAAGAACAAAGTCGTTCAAAAGCCACTGCTACTGCCGAGCGGCTCGATAAACGTGGTTGGGCATTGCTCAAACACGAAGAGATACGCTTACTTTTAGATACAGGATGAAATACCGAGTAGTTTATGCCGGTTTGTCCCAGGGATATTTTTTGGCCCTACAATACTCCCCCCACCAGACTCAACGACTGTTTGAATATATAATCTTGCGTCGAAGGTTGTCAAAAATGGCGAGACTCCTCTGGGTGTTGCTAAGCTGTAAGGCAAATGTGAAGAAGGCGGCAGAACCAAATCAATACTAAAATTGTCGATGTGCTTAAAAATATGACTTACGGATTGACTGAATGTCATGCAATTAAAAATGACAATAATAAGAATACTATAACATTTTAAGATTTTTTCAAGCAATATTGGAAAAATTTTGGTTGAAAAGTGGTTGAGTTCCGCAGATAAGCAACATTCACTTTGTCGCAAGAGTAGTGATACTACAATCGTACTATGATAAGAGTATTATCAATTGATGTCAAAGTTTGTATTGACATTGACTTAAAGTACATAGTCGGTCTTTGTCTTTGACGGTTTACTGTTCACGATTGTCGAATTCTATTTATATCTATACTCAGCAGGCTAACTGGATGTACAGATTTATAACCGTGAAAACGTTCATGATTTCAACGTACGAAGTTAATGATCATTTTGTAGTCAGTGATTGTAAAACTAATGATTGCTGGTACAATAAGTATGGGTCATGGACCACAGGTCGAGATCGATAGTGACGCAATGAAGTTGTCTCTAAACGGTGAGTGCTGTATATATGTTCAACAACCGAACCGTAAAATATCGAAGAGAACATAAGGAACAAAGAATGTCGCTCTACACCCATGTCACTGATATTGGTACGGGACGCTAACAGTTTGGGGATGGAGGTAAAAATCTCTCTTTCACTTTGCAGAAGGCTCACTCGGCTGCACAAACTGGTGATTTGCGTGTAAGAAAGCGTCTCCTGATCACCATTGAAACTGTACATGTTGTAAATCTTTACACGATGAAACTCAATGTCCTCTCAAATTCCTCCACCGTTTCGTTTCAACAATATTTAACTGCCTGGTGTGCAACGAACACTATGTGTATAAATTGCTATGAGTTGGCTGGGTGCCCGTATGATTCGGTGGATTTCAGGCGTCCTCGTAATTATGTAGTCTACTAATGCGACAAAATCAAAACATCTTTCGATTGAACATTCAGTGAGTTTTCTTCGCTTTGAAGACCACACTTTGACCTGATTGTTGCTTCATAACTTCACTTTGTAAACTAAGTACTAGCTAACACCCCATCGCTATTGCTGAAATCTTTATCTGGTCCATAGAACAACGTAACATCAAATAGAATGCCATAGAATTGATAGGAAGAAGTACTGATGAGAAGTTAATGGCTATTAGGTGATCCATGATGATGAGTAGTTCCGTGTTGGCCAACCTATTCCTGTTGCAATGAAGAAATGTCCATGGAACTAATAATATGGGTTATTCCTATATGAAATACGAAAACAGTGATTGGATGTTTATCGCTCGCTGTTAAAGACATTTGGAAGTAGATACAAGCACTTATGCATGCAACTGTAGAATGTTTGTTTCGTGCAATTATCATTGGCATCACATTCTTCTGACATACATAGGAAGACAAGCTCAAACAGATTAGGTAAATCAACACTGAAGTATTAACTACATAGTAAGTCATATTCTTTGGCAATGAACTCGACAGAAGACAAATGACACAAAAAACCTTCCATTATAACACTAAAATTTTGTTTCAGAAATGACGCAAACAGTATTTAAAAATCGTAAAGAGTCGATTATAAATAAGCACAGTGGTAGGTTTGCGGTGAAATGCAGAAGAAATTTCGAAAATTATTGTTTAAATATCACTAATAACTATGTGAAACTCCAGCTTTTCGGAAGCTTGCTCTGCTTTGTTTTTTTTCTTTACGATGTAGATCAGGGTTTGGAATATAACATAACAGGAACATAGTTTATTCTTTAAAGTCTTTCGTGGTTGTGTTATGGACTTGACTATGTATAAAACCTGTAAAAGTATTTTTCAACATCAATTGTTAATCTTGCTTCACCAGTTGCATTGATGCACCACAAATGTAATTCCTTCATTTATCGTAGTAACTGACTGAGACATTTGGAAAAAAAAGCATTCGCTTTATGAAAAACTGTTTCCTTGTGTAGACCTGTAACTACCGAAAGTGATCTCATCACATGGTATGTATTTACTCTGACTTATTGGTACATTATGTCTACAGAGGTTCGTGGTAATGCAAAAGTAAATAATTATCAATAACATGAGACGATAATTGGGCGACGAATGTATATTGTAAGGCATGATAAACAAAAGTACTAAATGTTATGTGTTGTTTGCTTGTATTGAGCTTTCCCGAAAACTTGAAACATTGCATATGACTGTTATATTTATACATAAATAATTCGTTAAATAAGTTAACGGGTATGTGGGCAAAATTAGACACGGTGATTATCATTTTATACGTTGTTCATATAATTTTTCGTATCCAACAATTCGTTAAGTTGTTCACTGGTTTGAACTTAAATACTAGAAAAGCTTTTGGTGGTGTTGCTCCTGACCACACAATCCTCAAGGCTGAACATGAGACAACTGAGAAAATAGATACTCAACATTAACACGGAGGAAAGGCCAACAATACTGAACGCGTAAACATTCATTCGATAACTAATCGTATGGCGTGGCACAACCTTGAAGGAGTAGTCGTTGTTGTGTAACTTATCTCTTTTATTCATATTAAATGTATTGCTTTGTCTCCAGCCTCTTTAGTAACGACAAATCTATTGCTGATAGTCACGATATAACGAATCAGTGTAGACAATGATAGGACTTTCACGTAAGATCTCATAGACTAGATGGTCACATAATAAAACATCTACAATTATAGGATTATCTCTATTATTATGATAGTACCAATAACGAACTAGACCATAATCCTACAGGTCCAAGCCCTGTAAATGGTTGATTGAACCTGCAACGACTGACATACCTATATTCGGTTTAACTTTGGAACTAAAGAACCAAAGTTTATTTGATTAAACCGGACTACGTTCTTCGCTATAGCGTGCAAAGCGTTTTTGAGTTAATCGTGCTAAGTTATGTAAAAATACAAACTCCGTTTTTGATTTAAACTGTTCCAATGAAAGAAGGAGATCAAATTATATGAAAAGTACAAAATACCTCAGACGGTACAGTCTGCGCAGTACTGTCAAGAGTTTTTCTAACAAAGGCTAACGTGCTAAACAATTAAAGGAGTGATCAGGGAGCAAAAGTTCAATGCTCGAAAATCAATAGAAATATTCTCGATTAGGTGGGGTCCGATATACATCTGCAAAGATTACAGGAACCATTCCAAGCAGACGGTCAGAGGTTAACAGGCATACACTGAAACATGCTGTGACCTTTAGATTAGTCAAACGCGACCTTATTGTCAACAGCCCGACAATATGTAACAGAAAAATTAAATAACAAAAAGTAAATCTTCAACAAAAGCCACACAATATAAGCTC